CTGTACAAGAGGTTGGATTTGATCCTGATAAGTCTGTCTGTTGCTCTGTAGAAGGAGGTCACACACTTGTGCATGGGCCAGGTGGACGAGGATATGGTCTAGGATCCACACCAATAACTTCTGGATGTTACCAGTGGAAATTCCTCATTGTAAAGGAAAACAGAGGTAATGAAGGTACCTGTGTTGGAGTTTCGAAGTACCCTGTACGAGACTATAGCCATAGGACTCTTCAGATATGTGGCTGTATAGGGCATACTCTGGGAACCTCTACCATAATGGAGAACTTAGCATTTCACTTCCAAGCTTTACACAGGGAGACTACATTACAGTTGTACTTGATATGGAAGCCAGAACTCTGAGCTTCGGAAAGAATGGGGAGGAACCACGTCTTGCTTTCGAGAACATTGATGCAACGGAGCTATATCCATGTGTGATGTTTTACAGCACCAATCCTGGAGAAAAGGTGAAGATGGTAGACATGCAAGTGAGAGGCTCCCCAAGAGACCTAGATCCTGGAGACCCTCTGTGTGCTCCTCAAGCAGCTGTGCTGGCAGAGGCTCACATTGCTCTGCTCCGTCAACTTCACGAGGCTCCAATCTGGACACAGCAAGTGAATGATTGCATAATAGAAAGACTAAACCAGACCAAAGAGCTCATACCCCAACCAAAAGATGTCCCTGAGAGTGTAGAAACAGTTTCAAAGAGTGAGTCAGACACTGAAGATCCAACCTTTGACTTTGAACCACTTGTAAACACAAGTGAGGTTCAGACATCAAGAGAAACTTCTCGAGAAGACCTTGTTTTAACTCTTGATGAACGACTGGAGCAAGAAGAACGAACAAAGAAAAAGACGGGATCCTGTTCAGACGACGACGATAGGAACACCCCAAGAGCAACTCCCAGATCAGGCTCAGATTCCATCAGTCAAGAGAAGAAGACTCTGAAAGGGAAATCCTGCAAACAGAATCTTGTATATGAAATGAATCTTGAGCAGCTGTGCAAAGAAGTTTATCCTGCTCTTGCCATGATTGGTGGAGTGGACAGCGGGTTGCGTGTTGGGGGCCAATGTGTCCAGAAGGGTACAGGTCGCAGGGCCATGGTTCTGGGTGCGCTGCGTCAAGGGCATCCTGCTGTGAAGGTATGGAGTTGGTGTCTTGAATGACAATGTTAGTGATTTTTTGATAGAAAGGTTTGACAGTATAAAATTTTTATGATGTACAATATATTTTTATTCTTGATATTTTTAGGTACAATGGTGTGACTGGGATACAAGTATTAGTGATGTGCCAGTATCTTTCTTGGAGCCAGTGGAACCACCACCTTTCGATGTCTCAAAAATGACTGGCATAACAGCTCAGGTCATTACACAGATCATGCGACTGGCTGGTCTTACCCAAGAGGTTTGTGAAAGATCCTTTATCTTATTTTTGGAATGCTTTTAAGAATGTGTTTTGCTCACTGAATTCTTAATCCTGGTGACTGAAGGTTTATGAGAAATCCTTTTACATTTTGAAAGTAAAAGGAATTCAAAATTACAAATACTCTATTGTTTTGTTACTGGTATGCATATGCTTGCAAGTTTGTGATTTAGTCATTTTAACTTGTATACAGTATTTGGAATTTTATTTTTTATGTTAATTGGTTCATAGTGCTGGAAGCTATGGCTGGAGATTGGGTTTCAAACATATGGAAAAGTTCATGGTTTATTCTGTGTATTGCCACTTCATACATGTAGACTTTTATTTTCCTTTGTATATGAATTGCTTGGCTTATGTGTTCTAAGCTATGAAAACAGTGGCAAGAAATAATTTTCCTGACCATTTGATGCCATTTGGAATATGAATAAGGGTAAAGGCAACCAACATCAGGTGTTAACAGGTCTCATCAAGTAGTAAAGCTGCTTATAACAGGCTTGTTAGTGACATAGTTTTGCATTCTTTCACATACAGATGTCACTAAATTTTGGAAGAATAAGTTTGTTTGATATTATATAATCAAGACATGTATACTTACTATTCTTGAAGTATTAGTATCTGTATTTTTAAGGTTAAGGGATTGTTATTTTTTTAAGAACAATTTTGTACTATGCTGTTTTAAGAAACGATGTCTTAGAAACCTAAACCTCTTTATGCGTTAGGAACTTCTGCATGTATTGACCTACATTACTCTTGTCACAGATTGAGTTTCCAAAAGTCACCTACAACCACGAGACAGATGAGGTGCACACTTCATCTACAGGCAGCCTGATCTCCCCACACTTCCCCAAGCACATGAAGAAGCTAAGTCCCAAAATGCAGTGAACTCGAGCGGGCCGTCACACTCGCCAAGTCCTCGCAAAGGGTCCAGGTTGGTTTTTTCCTGAAGTGCAGTCTTGAATTCAGAGAACTGAAGTGTTTAATATATTTTTTTTCTGTATACTCTTCTGTGTCTTATTATTATTATTTCCTTTTTGCAAGGTCATAATGATATGAGCTCACATGATTTGAACAGTCATATAGAGAAGGTATGATTGAGAATAACATCTTAAGCTTGGAAAGTAATTGATATGCTTCACGGACATGGCTTCCTCAAATGTAATCCTGATGAAGAGAAATCACTGAAATGAGCCAATTGCATCTCATACTGGGTGAAACTTGATGATTCTCGTTCATGTTTTTTTCTGCATTGTTATATTGAACTCAGTTAATTTTGCTAGATATTGATTGAGTTTGGTTGCAGGGGAAGTGGTGATGGCTTGACAATGGAACTGTTGACGGACCAGCTTGTTACGAACATTATGGACGAGGTAACTGGGAGATCAGTAGAAGTCCCAGAGCAGCAAGAGCCGGTAGTACCAACACAAAAAGATTCTCCTCAGGTAACTAATGTAAATACCTGCGATTTAGTATGTCTTGGTGAAGTTGTCTGTCATGGATTTGTGGACATGGACATTAGATGATGATGAGTTGATTATTGACCGAATATGTTTAAGTTTTCTATATAGTAAAGAGGACATGGTCCTTTTGAAAACAGAGTGTCTCATTTGTATATATTCTTTACTCTTCCAGACAGGAGAGTTGGCAGTAGAGGAAGGAATGGCGCTGCGCTTGGCGTTCCTCCAGAGTGCCAGTTTGCGTGCCATTTGTGCCATCATGAACTGCACACGCTATGCAGAGATGTTGCTGGTTCCCAAGGCTGCACAAGAAAAGGTTTGTATGCTCAAGTTAAGGGAATATCAGGTTATTTTAATTCAAATATTTTTGCTAGTAGTATAGTTAATTCCACATATATTTTTGCATATACACACTGAACTGATAATTACAGGACTTATTATCTTGTTTGATTTAACAGATTGTTTCATATATTAAGAATGGTAGAAAAGGCATGTGAGACAGTTATAGCATTATTAAATCTATATTATGATGTTTTTTTAACAGGATGGTGGTGAAAAGGGTAGTTCTGTGTCCCTTTTGCATGAGGAAGATGAAATCCGCACAGCAATAAGAGTTCTTGTCCGACATCTGGTTTCTGCCTGTACTTTAGCACAGCCACTAAAGAGGTATGTATGCAAAGAATGATAAAGGTGTATGTTTTCTCTTTTCTTTCCCTCTTTTTTATATATACATTTCAGTTTTTATAATATTTGCTTATGCCATCTTTAGGAAAATTAAGTTTGCCTAGGACATTTATACTGTATTATGTAAGTCATGAAGTTCACTTTGATTAGGAGTTATTAGTTGTATTTTGTATCTTCATGAGAGGAATATGGGCTGTAGGTTAAAGGTATCACTGCCAGAATGATCCCAACCCTTTATATCCATAGGACTCTGTTCAGTCACCAGAGCTAGGATCAATAGGAACTGGGATTTTCCACCTCCTATTTTGTTTAATGTTTTAGCACAATTCTCTATACCTACGAGAAAAATACATTTCCCAATGAATTATTGGAATTGCTTGTGTCAAAAGTGGTTCTCAAATGAATTATGCAGATGCAGAAGGACATGTAGAAATCAAGTTTGAATGAAGAGTCCAAATATTAAGATTTGGATTGATAACACAGAGCTCCTTCATGTATATAGTTTGCATTTCAGTATGAGTCCATAATGTTTTAAGTGCTTGTATTAAAGGAAATTTTGCAGACATGATTTATGGGAACTGATTCAATTTCCAGGCAAGTGAGTGTGGCTGAAGTGGAGCGATCACACCTGGTCCTTCATAGCATGTGCATGAGAGCCTGGGCAGAGGACAGCCTGAGTGTTGCTGACACCCAGTCTCGCATCATGGCTCTGACAGCAAATGAAGAAAGAGTTACAGATCAGGTGAGTAAGTTTCTCTATGAATATGGACTTTCCCCTGTAAATTTTGCCTTATTTGGACCATTTATCTAAGAATTCATTGGTTTGTACAGGTTTGGATTTTAAAATCTTTTTCAGATTGTGGAGGCAACAGAAAGGCCACAGAGTATCATCACTGAACTTCCTACGACAGGAACAGATGTGAGAGCCCCAAACGACCAATTCCTTCCCTAGGTCTGCCTATAACAGTACCTTGTGCTCCAGCTAGTCATCCTGGAGGGGAAGTGCACTCTATACACTCTGCCTCCCAGTCGTCTCGCACAACCCACAGTCCTTCAAGGGGTCGTTCTGTGGGCCCCCTGACCCCCAGAGTGCCCCACTTCCCCCATGGCAAGGAGTCACTCTCCTTCGCCTCCTCTGACCCCCCTCCCTCCCTTGCCTCCCCAATCGCCACTCCGCTGCTGGAGATGGGATTTTCGCTCAAACACATTCAAAAAGCATTGCTGCCCAAGGTGAGGATTGGGAACGTGCTTAGTAGGCTTGTGCCTTGCACCTCTGATTTGAAATTTGGTATTTGATTTGAATACTAAAAGCTAATATTCATGTACCTTATTATCATTTCGTAGGCCACAAGGGTGAACCATCAGCAGCTCAAATCAACCAGCTTGTGACATGGATGCTGGAGCACCCCTGCATTGATGCCAGTGAGACCAGTGAGAGGAGGCTTCTCACGATGACACCTCATCCTCTTCTGTTGCTGCTGCAGCTGCACAGGTAGAGTGTGGCTTTGTATGGGTTGTACTGTAAGCTTTTGTAAATGGCAGGTTTACTGTATGTAAGTTATTACTCATGCTGAAAGAGAATGGCACTGAAGTCTTGCATGTGTATGTGAGGGGATTATGCTTAAGGTAGAATATGAGTGTACCAGAGTATTCTTTGAAGTTCAAGTGTTATTTTGCATTTTAGTTAGTATATTTCCATCAATTTCTTTCCCAGTTAATTGAAAGAAGTGATATACAGGATCTCAGCGGAAGGAGGATGATTCTCCGAAGAGGAGGCTGCGTTGATCTCCGTTCATCTGTGGTTCCTTCAAGACCATCGGGTAAGGCTATTGAGCATCATTTGTTCTTAGGGAAAATTTAAAAGCAGCCTTGTCTTGAAAGTTTCATTTTTTAACCCATTGCTGATAAGGATGGCATGTATGTACATGCTATCCTTATCAGTTTATACACAGGTAGCTCCCCAAGTGTATAGTCACCAAGGAGTCAATTACTAGTCCTGCCTATCACACTTGTTTACCCTTTTCCTTGATTTTCATAAATATGCTTCTTTAGATCATACTCTTATTAGTATTGTTTTTAGCATTATATTAAGTATAATAGTGATAACAGCATTGATATTAATAGCATTAGAAAACAAAGAAACAAACATTAAAAAAAATATTTCTCAAAACACAAGGAAAATGGACATCAGTGAGGTCACTAGTCTACTCACCGACTCCTTGGTGCCACCTTTATGTAAAGACATTTCACAAAACAAACCTACAGTGAACATTGCACTTACCCAGTGGCATGGGTTAATCATGTTATGGTGGGATACCTCTCAGCATTATTCTTTGTATGCATTTTCATTGTCAGAAAACAGTTTTAACTATAGAAAAGTTATAATGAGAATGAATATCTTCACAATACAAGAGATGTATATTTAATCGGATTCAAATATATCTTTGTCAGAAATACATGTATTTCTGACGATGATGATGTATTTGAAAACGGTTAAGTACATCTCTTGTATTATATTCATTCTCACTTATACCTTTTCTACTTTTGTCTCAATGAATATGATTCAGTCCTAACAGTTTTTCTTTAAAAAAAAAGGAAAGAAAAAAAGAAGAGGAATTATATTCTGGTTTCCTTATCTTTTTTAACCTGTTGACTGCAGAGTAAAATCTGGCAATGGTTATGAAAGGCATAATTGAAATTCCTATATCAACATTCTCATTATATATAAAATAAACCTTGGACAGCCTAGTAATTCCCACAGATACATGTTTTATACATCTTGTACTGGAAAAGTTGTTTTTTCATAGCCATATCAATACTATGGTAGCACCACACTTGCATTTGTAAAATCTGTGTGAGTTTAAATGGAAAGAAATGCAAAAACATATGTTTTTTCAGCCCACTCTGTAACCAGAATAACAGTGTATCCCACAAATGAAAGTCATGTAGCATGTGGCAGTGGCTTTCAGACTCATGTAATCATGCACACATACATGCACACAAATTTTTTACTGAGAACTGCCAAGTAATTCACAAAAATGAACATCTGTGATCCATCACATGTAACAGCAATTTCCAGAGTTTATTCATGTTTTTGCTGTTATTATTAGCCAACATAAAGAATTTTTTATCAAGAAAGGAGCTTGCTAACTGCACTACAAATTTCTTAAATGTAACAAAAACTACCAGTGCATGAATAAATAATTTGTTAAGACAAACTTTTCTTTTGAAGGACGTGGATTAGACACCAGGGACACCGAGAGCTCAAGACAAATGCAGCATGGGCGCAGCGAGCCAACACGCTTCAGATACGGAGGAGTGGGGTTCGAAGACCAACTGAGAGGGTCAGACGACTCCATTGGAACTTTGCCCAATGATTTAGACCATGGTTATGTGGCTGTTGGGCCAGACTCTATGCAGGGATCTTCTGCCTTATCTGCATCTAGGGATCGAGAATGGAGGGCTTTGATGGAGGCAAGATAAGACTTTTAAATTCATTGAAAAGTGACACACAATGCATTACTAATACAATTAAAAAGAAGTACACAAAAACAGTTTGGAAGTTAATTTGTAATGAGGACTAAAATATTAGCAATAGACCTAAGGCATTTTAAGAGAATTGGTTGAGGAAAATTGTAGTGTGAAATTCATCAGGAACTTCAGAGTAATAGATGATTGAGTTGTTTACTTAATGTTGATAGTAGTTTTGTGAGAATATGAGTAATGTTTTAAGGAAGATGTGGGTGGAGAAACCATGTACATGAAGATTTGACAGCATTCCTGATGAATCATTATTATGCATATTTTGATCTTGCAGGTAGCAACAAATAACGATGGGGACAGGACTCTCAGCATCTGGAAGTTTGTCACCATGCCACAAGCAACCTCCGTCAACACATGCGAGTTGCCCACCCTGGTTGTGCCCGCCCCTGGATGGCAGGTGTTTGTGGTACGCTTATTGGTAAGTAAATTGTATCATTTTATTTTTCTACCAAGTATAATTTGCCTCTACCTGTACTTCAGTTTCAGAAATTAGGTGCCTCTGCCAGGCAATGAAGTCCAGCAGAATTTTGATTGCCAGATTGTCATTTCTGGCTAGTTGCACTAATGTACCTCAGCATGCCTTTTATTTACATTGTTTTCTCTCCTTTTTTTCTCTGTTCTACTGTATTCACATTTGCTTTCATTGTATGCTGTAAGATTGTGATAAGAGTGAAATCATTATAGAGATTTTGAAGATGTTTTGGCACCTCATTTCTCTGGTATGGAAAGTTTCAGTTGGCAATATTGCTTGGGTGAATTAAGAATACTTGTATTGAAGTGAAATAGAATCTACAGCTAGCAAAGTCATACTATTACACTGATAGTTCTAAAAAGATTAAAACATTTACAATTTTAATCCCTCAATTTTCCGCATCAGTATTTTCAAAGAATGTGCAAAATTACAACACTTCTTGGATTGTTATTCCTCCAGTAACTACATCTTATGTGAGGTATGCCAGGAGCAGCATGCAGGCGGCAGCAGCAGCATTGGGGGTTCTGGGGGCTCCGGGGATGGTCAAGATCGGCTGCGGGACTTGACTACTGTCCTGGCCCCTGACTTGCCCCAGCTCCTCTTGCCACCATGGAAGTAAACTCTGCAAAGAGAGAGAGAGAGTGAGTGAGTGATGAGTGAGAGTGAGAGTGAGAGTGAGAGTGAGATGAGGAGTAGAGTGAGAGTAAGTGAGAGTAAGTGAGAGTAAGTGAGAGAGAGTGAAGAGTGAGATAGTGAGATAGTGAGTGATTTGTTTGTTTTAGTTTCTGCTGGTCTTAAAGATATTACCAAGATTATTATATGATTATTCTTATTACTGTTTTTTTCATAAATCCCAGGAAAATGCTGCTGTGACAACTTAACCCTTGTAGAAATATAGTCAGAAATATTTTCAACGGGGCAAAATCTCTCGTTCCAGATGACGGCCTCAGCATGAATGAGATTGACCTGAAGATGACAAACTACAGTGTGATAGCTCGCGTCTTGGTCTCACGGACAGAAGGCCCATACCAGACCCCATGCCGTTCCCTCGCCCTGACCCCCTCGGATCGACCACGCTCGTGTCAAACATTGGCGAATCCCTGAAGCCACTAATAGTATGTTGTGACAGTAAATTTTAGTGAAAGCTGGTTATTTCAATCTTGTTCTTCTTTTCCTCCTCCTCCTTCTTCTCCTCCTCTTTCTCCTCCTCCTCCTCTTTTGTCCTCCTGTTTCTCCTCCTCCTCTCCTCTTTCTCCTCCCCTACTCTCCTCTTTCTCCTCCTCCTCCTCTTTCTCCTACTCCTCCTCGTTCTCCTCCTACTCCTCCTCTTTCTCCTCCTCCTCCTCCTCTTCTCTTCCTCCTCCCTTCTCTTCTCCTCCTCCTATTTCTCTTCCTCCTCTCTCTTCTCCTCCTCCTATTCTCCTCCCCCTTCCTCTCTCCTATTTCTCCTCCTCCTCCTCTTTCTCCCTCCTCCTCTTCTCTCCTCCTCCTCTTTCTCCCTCCTCCTCTTTCTCCTCCTCCTCTCTTTCTCCTCCTCCTCTTTCTCCTCTCTTTCTCCTCTTGTCCCTCTTCCCCCACAACCACCTGCCTCTGGTCTTCTTTTACTCTTTTACAGTCACTGCTAGACAACTTTGTAATGTGTTCATACACATCTATTTTTTTAAAGCTACCTTTAAATCTTCACAAATTAAATGGATTTATCTAAACAGCTTCAGGAGCTCGGCGCGCGATAGCAACATTACCGCTGTACCTGATCGAAGCTTAGGAGAACAGCTGCTTGCTCTCACTTCCCCAATTGCAAGAATCTCAGCTCTCCGCCGCACCACACGCCCTCAGGGTCACCATAAGCTCGTGCTGTTGTGATGCGAGCTCTTCTTCTTCCTTGCCTTGAGTGGCGGGTCTTGTGATCTGTGGGCGGCTCAATGCCCTTGGGCTCTGTGAGTTCGCCTTCTAGTCCGATTGATGTGGTTGGTTGCACAAGGTAAGAGCAGTGAAATTGGTGCTTATATTGTATTAATGTTGTCTACTTATATAATATATAATATATATATTATATATATATATATATATATATATATATATATATATATATATATATATACATATAATGATTTATAATCCAGAATGGGAGCATAATTCAGAAGAGATATAGTTATCATTATTACTATTATTCTTTTTTCTTTTTTTTTTGAAGGACGTGTACCACTTGATGGATCTGCTCGGACAACCGGTGCAGTGCTACAGCCAACAGACATCACCACAAGCCTCGCACACTTGAGTGACGCTATTGGTGCTCTTGCCCAAAACGACACAGATGCAGCCAAACTGCTTCTACATTTGTGTACACAGGTACTGTCAAAGGCTCTGCGACTTTAATGCTGAGGTCAAGTATGAATAGTTTTATCTGAGCTTTATCTGAGCAAGTGCTACAGAAATCATAATGCCCAGCCCATCAGATAGTTAAGTATCTTTTATTACTGTACCTAAATATAAGGTAATTGGAAAATGTCCAGGAACAAAGATATATATTTTCTCTTCAAGATATGCATAGATATAATATGAAATGGAGTTCTTGCGATTCATCTTTTAGATGGTGTAGCAAAACGTAATTGTCCTGTGATTTCCAGCATTTGATGGTAGCAGCCATGGGCATGTCCAGTGGAGACATTGTAGGAGGATCAGGAGAAGAAGATGTCGATGTGACGCTTTGCGAGGAGCGGAGAGGCTGCCAGAATGCCTCTGCCATGCACCAGACAAGCTTTCCCGTAACACAGGCACTCGTATCCCTCCTGGCAGCAAATTCCTCACTTATTCATTTGGCTGGGAAAGGTAAGATATTTATGGGTTATGACATTTGTTTGTTGATAAAGACAAGATATTTTAGGCCAGTTTGGACTGTTTGTTTTTCTTGGTTGTAAATTAGTTACTTATGGTATGGTTGGAGTTTAAGGCTTTTTTTCTTTCAAGGTTTGATATTTGGAACAATTGATTTGTTTAGTTTGTTGATCAGTATGATATACAGGGTATTTCATATTGCCAAAGAGGAAAGTATATTGCCAAGATAAACTATGCTCAATGATATAACATTTTTGCCTTATACTTCATTTCGAATACATTATGAATGGTAAATGACGTAGGAGGATAGATCCTTGTTGTTGACTTCATATGTCATACTCTATGAAGGGTGGTTACTCTATCAAATGATTTCATCCTCTCTGTAGGAGAAGCTGTAACGTCTCCAGTGACAGCAAGTGGGGGTCAGGGAGACCCAGGAATTCAACTTGCTAATGCCCTTGCTGCTTGCATACTGTCCACACGGCTTCCACACTCGCACCGTCAGTGGGCTGCAACTCAGCTGGTCAGTTACGGACAAACTGGTGGTTTTAGAGTTGTATCAATATGTTTAAGTGAAGCAATTGTGGTGAGTAAAGTCTCTGTAACTTTTATTATGAAAGTGGCATATCAAAAGAGACTTCTTGTCTGTCATTTTTAATAAAATTTTATGTGGTCAATTTTTCTCTTCTCTCTCTCTCTCTCTCTCTCTCTCTCTCTCTCTCTCTCTCTCTCTCTCTCTCTCTCTCTTCTCTCTCTCTCTCTCTCTCCTCTCTCTCTCTCTCTCTCTCTCTCTCTCCCGCCCCCTTCCTCCCCCCAGACATTTTTACTCTAACTGTGCTCTTTTTAGGTTGAATGCATTGGAGGCCGTGCACAGCTGGCTGAACATTGTAGTGATTTTCCGGGGCCAAATATCAGCAGCGCAGCAGACTTCACAGGAGCTCTGCCTCGTGTGCCAACTTCTTACCTAGAAGGGCATACTGCATGTGCTTCAGGGCCCTCTGGATGCCAGGAAAGAACTTGCTTGTTACCAGGTAAATGGCCTTTGAATTCTTTTGAGATTGAATATTAATGTTTTTTTATATTTAGACTTTTGGATTAATCATGTGAATTTTCTTTACTTTCACTGTTAGCTTTGAGATCATTAGTTTTGTTGATTGGAAGTCTTTTTTTTGTTCTTGAGTGGAAATAAGAGAATGAAGGGAAGAATAGGAAAATTCCTGAATATGCTGAAGCCCTTTCTGCTTTTGTGCATCTTCAGGGCTTGATTAATCCAAATACTTTCCATTTTCAAAACATTTTCCTTGATATCATTAGTATTTGGATAATGGAATCCTTTTTCAGTTGGGTACATCAGGCAGCTTTTATAGTATTGTCACATATTCAAGATTATAAAAATATCACATACATGCATTCCTTTGGCAGTGGACATGATGGCTCGGTAAGAACTTGGAAGGTGAGTCAACGTTCTCATGCCTGCCAAGAACACACATTAGTGTTCCAACAGGATGAGAATGACAGCAACTACTCAGTCAATCCTCCTGCCATAGAACATGTGGTGGCATTACCAACTGGACGGCATATCGCCGCGTCTTCTGAAAATGTTCTCAATATATGGCCGTTGAATAGTAAGTGTGAACTTCTTTTTGCACAGTGTATGAGTCCTAATGGTGATCTAAATAATGTTGATATATCAATATATTCATCTTTTTGTGAAATTAGTTGAAAGATGCATTGTAAGGCCATGTTTCATTGCAGGTAGCACTGTGGCATCATGGACAAGCAGCAGCATCATAACAGCGCTTGAGGCTCCACTGCATGGTGTGTGTGACCTTATGATCACTGGGCATCATGATGGCTCTGTCACACTGGCAGCCTTTACAGCGAGCGGCATTATTCCAAATCCTATTAGGCATGCAGGAAGCAGGACGGTAAGAAAGATTACTTTCCTTATTATGTAGTCAGTATATTATACATAAGAGAACTCATAAACTGGAATAATATAAGAAAAAGAAAAAAAGAAAGGCAGCAGTTTTTTATAACAAATGTTCCACTGATTTCAGTGATAAAGTTTTGTACATTTATGTATCTTTTTTTAAGATTTCTGCATATATTTTATGATTCCCATGTAAGTAGTATGTATTTTTTTCCTCTTAGTACTCATTTCTATTATCTTTCCACAGTGTATGTAAGTTGCCTAGCATGGCATGACCAAGATAAAGATCTGGCAGTGGGTTTCAGCGACGGCGTTGTCCGCGTTTGTTCAGTGCAATCTGATGTGGGGAGTGTTACTGTTCAAGCCCAACAGGTAAATATTTGAGTAGACAAGCTCATTGGAAGTTACCTGAGATCACTGTTTGAAATATGTATTAGAAAATTGAGGAAGTTTACCCAGCTTATCCCCTTGTTTTCCTAGGGACCAGTTCAATGCCTAGAATGGAGCAGCAACTGTTGCTTGCTGGCTTCTTGTGGGAAGGCGGACTAAGGTTTGGACTCAGACGTCAAGTGGATGGACTCCTGTGTATTCCTTGGATTACAAATCTCTACCGCTATGCATAAAATGGTCTCCAGTTATAAGTGAGTTCATAGACTTTGACTGTATGGTATAGCTCTTCAGTGTTTATATATTTAAGATTGTGGAATTTCGAGGTGCAGAATCCTTTCTTAAAGGTTGCACACATAATTATGATTGGATTACTGTCTTTGAATTTTTTTTTATTTTTATAAATCGCAATATTCCATGTCCGCAGGTGGAGTCCTTGAAGGGAATGTACACATATGTTAGTTGTGGGGCATGAGGATGGTCTAGTCACGGTGTGGGTAGTGCCCCAGAGTCCATCTGCGTCTGGGGATTCGGAATATAGGGGCAGGTAAGATGCTGCGATATATATATTTTTTCTCCAGAGTTATTTCTGTTATGCTACTTGTTTCAAGACAGGAAATGTAAATATTGTCTATATTTCTTTTGTTTTATATGGTGTGCATATTGTAATAAGATCCAGAACTCTTTATAAGATGTGGGTATTAATAAAGTGTTATCATAAATAAACAGAAAATTGTATTATCGTGATTATAGCTCACAGCATGGGGAAGGTGCTGAGTCATGTGACCCAAGGTGCCAGCTGCAGCTACGAGGCCACCAGAGTCCAGTCACTTCCTTGGCCATCTCAACTTCGGGTCTTATGCTGGCCACAGGTCTGGATTTTAAATTTAATTTAATCTAATTTTTTTTGTGCATGAAATCTGTTATTTTAATGAAACAATTGTACTGGCTACTGTAGTAATAACGATGATAGCAAAGACATAAGTTGAGATAGAAATGATAGTAAAAATGATGATAATATTGATAGGAATAATAAGATCACCTTAATGGTGATGTTCAATGATAAAGCAGTGAATATAATAGAATGAGGATAATGATATCATGAGAAATAATGATAATGTGCTATAGATGACAGTGATAATGATAAAGCTCTTTTCAAATTAAATTTTCCTTTCCAGGTTGCCAAGAAGAGCATGAATGGAATGGTTAATGTCTGGTCGCTACAAGAAGGCTCGCTGCTCCAGACTCTGGTCGGCTCAGGAGGAATTAATTGCCCTGGTTTGGTGCGGAACTCTGGTTGGCCATTTGTGTGTCCCGATCACAGGTATGGATGTTTGCACTTCAGTTATGGTATGAATGATAAAACACTTGACTGTGTGATAAGATTGTCAGAAAAATCTTGTGCTGTCTCTTTGTTATGACTGAATGTAAGTGTCCAGTATTTAGTGAGAGGAATGAAAGAATTAGCTATAACAAGATGGCTCTCACTTCCAGAACGTAGTGTTTACAGCGCTATCGATGACCATTTCTTCAAGCTTCGTATTCCGGCTTTCTGTCGCACAGTTTGCACACGTGGGGAATGACGGGTGCATCAGGCTCCCTGTCTGCGAGCGCTCTTGTCCCACCTTCCCTCTCTGTGCTCTCACAATACCAGCATGAGAAACCGATGGGTAAGTGGGTAAGGGTGTAGGGGATAAGCATGTATCATTAAATTATTATTATGAGTAATCCTGTGATATGTTTGGTTGTTTAACATGAATTTCAATATTATTATCATTATTTTTTTTTCTTTTTATTGTTATCACAATTTTTTTTTCTTCTCCTTCTTTTTTCTTCTGTGTTATTATTGTTATTGTTGTTACTATATAATAATGATGATTATTATATATATATTTTTTACATTAAATCTATTATATTATCTATTTATCTTTATCATCATCATACTATCACTATTACTATTTTGATTGCAGTTAAGATATGATTATGATTACTAGTTTTTCATAACTTCAGCATGATCTTTTATTTATTTATTTGCTTCATGTTTTTGATGATGGATTGCAGTGTCAGATTTATCAACAGATTTGTTATGCTAAAGACAGCTTTGCTTACATTATGAAAGGTCCTTTCTTATTGTAGTCAGAGGAATAAATAGGATTTATTTATTTTACCATATTTTTCTTTATATTTGTATTCTGACAAATGAGATATTGGAGGTAAACTTGACACTGATTCTTCACTGATTCCGCTTTTTCAGTAAGCAGCGGAGAACAACTGTGCACAGCCGTTACCTGCAGCAGCTTTGTTCCTTGGCGTTGTTACTCAGGTTGGACTGCATCCTCTGTACTCAGCCGGCACCAGTTCACGTTACCAGACCGGAATCAGGTAGCAAACAGTCCGTCTCTGGTGGAATTCAAAGCTAGGATGAATTCAGTGTCAGTTTTTTTTTTTTTATGTAGAAGAGAAATGTATATAGTGCAGGGTTCCCACCTTAGGGTATATACAATGTATATTAATGTCTCAAAGGATAACCATAGTTTACTGAACAGTGTGCATTGTACACTGCACACCAGTAGAATGAATGATGAATAATGTAGAACAAATGATTTAGAATGCACAAGTTACAACTAAAGAAGGCATGCTCTTCCTATTTTCATTTACAGAGTTACAAATTTTGCAGTTTGTCAATGCTGTTGTTATAAAATCCTTATATAGCCTCTTCACATAGCCTCTTTTTAGAATGCATAAGGGGGTATACTGAGGATGGGAACCCCGTTTAGTGGGTAATTGGGATTAAAATCTTTCCACCTGTTTTATTGGAAAGGTTAAATATGTTAGTATGCAAGTAGATATTAGAAAAAAGGTGTATTGTCTTGTGAATAATGTTTTTTGATTAGGACACCATGAGAATTCTCATAATTGTACATTCTATGGAAAGGCATCATAAGAGATATTTACCACTTCAAGAAACCATGACAAGATAGTTCTTGTTTTATGAATGAGATGAGCTGAAAAGTCTTAATCCTGATGCATGAACTGTAAAAAATTATTATGGTTTTTTTTACAGTTGTTGAATGGAATTGGTTGGAAACCCTTTGCACAGCTGTGAGTACAGCAGAAAGTCTAAAAAAGCGAACACCTCTCCCTCGTCCTTTTACAACCCAGCTTTTAAAGCATTCAGGTAAATTAGTAGTCCTTTATTTAGTATATAGCCGAAGCAGGATTTTGTGAAACATGTTTATATAAGATTAAAGCTGATTCTATATTACCTTTAACCTCATGCAGTTGGGGATGGCATGTGCATTCAGCCATACCCACTGTGTGTTTAATTTAGTAATTGTTTTTACATATAGATGGCTCCACAAGTACTAGGTCACCAATGAGCTTGTTTGCAAGAAGTACCTGTCTCACCTGTTTAGCATTTTTCCTTGGTTTTTCAATATTTTCGACTATCTAATTACTGCTGTTAGTAATGTTAATAACATATATTAATTATAATCTGCAATAAAAATAACATCGTCAATACTGATAGCATTATTAGAAAAAGTGTTTTCCTACTATTTCAAAGAAAAATGAGGTCACAAGATCTGCTAATTGACTCCTTTGTGGCTAAGCACTTTGAGAGCCATCTATGTATAGAAACATTTAACAAAACAATACCAAAGTGAAAGCGGCATTTTCCCATCGGCATTGGATTAATGATCAATTTTTATTGTATTCAACAGATGATAAAGAACACCTGAACTATGCCATAGAAAATGGCAAATGGGACGTGGAACAGGACGCTGCTGTGATGTCGTGGGCAACGCATCACCCTGGGGACTGGCAGGTTGGAGGTCGTTGCCAGGTCTACATGTGGGGCAGTGGGAGGCACGGGCAGTTGGCCGAGACAGGTGAGAGCCATGCGTTGTAGTCATAGGATTAAGATTGTAAGCCATTAATGATACGTATATGCACTATCTCATGGTTTTTATTAATTTTGTTTATGAAATTGATAACAGGAGAGAGTCATTTGTGAAGCATACTTCATCTCGCAATTCAACCCTTTCATGATTTTTTTTTGGAAAGGTTTTATTTCTGTTATTGTTATTATTGTTATTGCATTCTTCTTTTTTTTTTTCTTTCTTCTTCGTCATCTTCTTCTTTTTCTTCATCTTCTTCTTCTTTTTTCTTCTTTGTATTATTATTATTATTACCAATATTATTATTATTAATATATTTATTTATTTATTTTATTTTTTTTCAGACATGAATAAAGGCTCATTAGTGTTTTGTCACATATAATGTAAGAATTGTGTTTGTTTGCTTTAGTCTGTAGGGACTAGCTACATTAGTGGAATTATTTTGTTATATAAACACAATATTTGATATGGAAATGATTTCAAATCAATTTATGTGCCTGAAATTTCATGAGATTTATGGTTGACAGGTCGAAGCAGTCTGGCACCAGTACTTACAGAATCTCTAGATGTGCGCAGCAAGTTGTCTGCGGACAGAATTGCACGTTCATAGTGACTGCCAATGGATCCATCTTGGCCTGCGGGGAGGGGAGTTATGGTCGCCTGGGTCAAGGAAACTCGGATGACCTGCACACGCCCTCTGTCATATCCACCTTGCAAGGTAGCAAAGGATAATTTCTTTGTTTTTTATCAATATTATTTGTGAAGCTTGTTCGTTGTGAAAAATGTGGAAAGAGATAGGAATGAAAGATGAATTTCTTTATAGTGCAAGAGAAGTATTTGACTTGTTTTGTCATATTTCTGACAAAGATATGATTATTTATTGTTTTTAATGTTATAGTATAGATATTTTATCATTACTGTTACAGTTCTTGTCTTTGTTTTTTTATGCTTTCATTATGAATGATTGTCTCTTTCAGGCTTTGTGGTGACACAAGTTGCAACCTCATGCGGCTCAGATGGTCATAGTTTAGCCGTAACGGACAGTGGAGAAGTTTCTCGTGGGGGGACGGAGATTATGGCAAATTGGGTCACGGGAACTCAGACCGCCAACGGAGGCCAAGGACAGATTGAGGCGTTCCAGGGACAGGAGTCGTTCAGCTGGCTTGGATTCAAGCACACAGCAGTGGTGACATCTGATGGCAAACTGTCACTTTGGGAATGGGGATATGGAAGACTTGGTCTGGGGTCGACTGCAAACAAGAAGCTTCCCGAGAGAGTTACGGCTCTTGATGGCTGGCGGATCGGTCAAGTGGCTTGTGGACTGAATCACACTGTTTGTATTGACATTGATGGAAACACTGTTTGGGCTTTTGGAGATGGCGACTACGGAAAATTAGGTTTAGGAAATTCCACTTCAAAGTCTACACCACAGAAAGTCGAAGCTATGTGTGGTATTGGCATTAAAAAGGTTTGTTGTGGCACGCAGTTTACAGTGTTTCTCACAAAAGATGGCCGTGTTTATACGTGTGGAATGGATCGGCTCATTGGCCAGCCGAATCACGGACAAGAGGACACAATCGGCCTCAGCAAGTTCCTGCTCTTGTGACTCATGTTGTGGTTGAAATAGCTGTTGGATCCGAACACACATTAGCACTTGCCAATAATGGAGATGTGTATGGCTGGGGAGTAAACAGCGACGGACAATTGGGACTCGGGCACACTGCAGCAGTACGAGAACCCCAGCTCATCTGGACACTGTCAGGGAAGGGGATCCGTCAGATCAGTGCCGGTCGCAGCCACAGTGCAGGCCTGGTCAGCTCTGCCACTTCCTCCAGTAACCCCAGGGACCCCAGCTCCCATGCAGCTTGGGATTCCCGTGTCAGTGCCGCCACAGTACCAAACTTGCAGAACATTCCCCAGGTGCTCTCTGCTCAAGGCTGAGGATGCTCCATCAGTTCAGTGATCTGCTCTATGC